GCCTCTTTGCAATGCAGGTAGCCGCTCTGTCTGCCATGCCAGGACACGGTGGCCTCACCGCGCACGAGTTTTAATTGAATGACTGCCACTCTGGAGACCTCTGTGTCTTTCAGTAATCAGTGACACACACAGTAAAGGTGAGGCTTCACCAGGTGTGCGTCAGGCACCGTGTGACACGGAGTGGACTAGGTGGAGAAATACGCCGTGCCACATTTTGATAATTGGACATTCGGTATTTTGTGGCCTCCATAACATCAGCTCGCAATGATTTTAATAAATGCAGAGATAGCTTGCCTGATATCAAGGCAACTTTTAGGTAGCAGAAGAAATACTTTCTTGAGAGAGAAAACATCACGATCATGTCATTGGCTCTGTCCTGGGGTCGTACCAGGAGCAGGTGAGCCATGTGGCAGGAGGGAGAAGAGGCGTCCTTTAGCCCTACTTCAGTGAGAGGTAGAATAATGCAATTATCGGGGCGCCTGGGAGGCTCAGTCGGTTAAGCGTCCGACCTCGGCTCAGGTCATGATCACACGGTTTGTGGGTTCGAGCCCCGCGTCGGGCTCTGTGCTGACAGCTCGGAGCCTGGAGCTGCTTCCGATTCTATGTCTCCCTCTCTCTCTGCCCCTCCCCTGTTCATGCTGTTTCTCTCTCTCTCTCTCTCTCTCTCAGAAATAAATAAAAAATATTAAAAAAAAAGAATAATGCAATTATCACACCTGGATGCTCACATTGCAGCACTGCGACCCAGGAAAATTACTGAAATGCTTTGTGCCTCAGTTTTCACCTCAGTAAGATGGGGATCATGATAGCTAGTGTCTACCTCATGAGATTGTTGTGAGGCTTGCAGGAGTTAACGTATAGAGAAGTGGTAAAACAGGACGCTTATGAAATGCCAATATTTTAATATTTATGTGCTTCTGCCTGTGACTTGACAATATCAACACAATTAGGTGTTTAGGGTGAATGAAAGTACGTGTTTTTAGGGGAGTGGGAAAGAGAATAGGTTTCTTTTACTTTTCCACTGAAGCACTAGGTGTTTAGAGCTTGGTGGGTAAGGACAGGCGGCCACAAGCCAGGCTGCTGGGCTTTAACTTCCAACCCGTGTTCAAATCCTTGGCTAACCTCAGAAATGTGCCTGCATGCTGGAGGATTCTGAGCTCAGTGGAGAGCAACAGCTGAAAAATTACTAAGCAGATACCTTAGCCTGTGCCAGGTTAAAGGTGCTTGTTATACACCTCAGGCTTTCCATTTAAGGTTCATTAAAGTGAAGATGATGTTCTAGGACTTAGAGATTCACCTTAGACTAAGGGCAAAAATCCAAATAGACCCACAGTCGCAAAATGGAAACCAAAACCTCTGCAAGCTCAAGCCTGTCAGAGTTCAAAGCCCAGCATGTTAACAGCATATCACCCACAATGTCTAACATGCAGAGAAAATTACTAAATATGTGAAGAAACAGGAAAATGTGACACACAGTCAAGGAAAAAAGTCAAACAGAAACTCCAAGATGCTCTGATATTGGAACTTGTAGACTCTTAAAATCTGTAAGAATTTGTAAGCCAACTCTTAAGTTTGAAGACTTAAAGGAAATGATTGTCATCTTGAACAGATGGAGAATTGCAAGAGAGAAATAAAAACTGTAAAAATAAGCAAATTTAAATTCTATAACTGATGGGGCGCCTGGGTGGCTCAGTCGATTAAGCGTCCAACTTGGGCTCAGGTCACAATCTCACAGTTTGCGGGTTTGAGCCCTGTGTCAGGCTCTGCACTGACAGCTCAGAGCCTGCTTGGGATTCTCTCTGTCTCAAAAATAAATAAATATTTAAAAATTAATCAAATGTGGGGCGCCTGGGTGGCTTAGTCGGTTAAGCGACCAACTTTCGCTTCGGTCATGATCTCACGGTTCGTGGGTTCGAGCCCTGCGTCGGGCTCTGTGCTGACTGTCAGCTCAGAGCCTGGAGCCTGTTTCAGAGTCTGTGTCTCCCTCTCTCTCTGACCCTCCCCTGCTCACGCTGTCTCTCTCTCTCTCCTAGAAAAAAAAAATAATCAAATGAAAGCTAAAAAATATTTGTTGCCAGCAGACCTGTACTGAAAAACATACTAAAGAAGTCCTTCAGCCGAAGGGGAAATGACGGCAGATGGGAGCCTGGATTGGTGAGAGGGAGTGGGGAATACTCATATTTACTGAGAATAGTAAATATGTGGATGAGTGTGAAGTACTTAATTCCTCCCACCTAGTTTCTTTAAAAGACAAATGACTACTTAGTACAAAAATAATACCACTCTTTTGTGGTGTTTATAACACTTCTACATGTACAATATATGATAAAAACACAAAAGATAAAGGATAATAAATGGATTCTGTTTTTCTCACATTTTAGGTAAAATAGTACAAGATGAATTCTGTGTCCACTGCGCTAAGTTGAAAATACTATTGTAATCCACAGATCGGTACCTACAAAATAAGAAAGAGGAATCGCTAAAAAGACGTTAGAGGAATCTAAATAAAGTAATAAAAAGTACTGAGTTAGCCCAAAAGGTGGGAAAGGACAAACAGAAGAATGAAAAGAAATGGGGCAATGCAGAACAGCCAGCAAAATGGCGGACCCAACACAACTGTCTGAATAACGGCATTTAATGTAAACGGAGGGGAGGCTCCAATTAAATGGCATATGTTGTCAGATTGAATAAGAAAGCAAGACTCAACCATGTGCTGTCCCCAAGAAATGCACTTTAACTATAAAGACATTGAAAATGCGAGAGTCATCAAGAAAGCTGATGTGGCTCTATTAGTATCAGGCCAGGTAGCCTTCAGCAAGAAGTATTGCCAGAGACAAAACGAGACATTTCATAATGATAAAATAACCAAACAGGAGGTCACATACCAATCCTAAATGTGGACACATCTCCTAGCAGCGCTTCAACGTCCGTGAGGCACAAACCGACAGAACAGAAAGGAGAAATACAGATTTCCAGGATCATGGCGGGAGGTGGTAACACCCTATGTCAGTAACTGATAGGACACGTAAACAACAAAAAAGTAAAAAATGAACACGCAAGTCACAGAATGAGAGGAAATATGTGTGTCTGGCAAAGAACCTGTATCTGGAACATATAAAGAACTCTTGCAAATCACAAGCCCCGTGTAGGGCCAAGCAGGCAAATATCTTGAACAGATATTTCAAAAAAGAAATTATACAAGGACTAAAGGTCCATGAAAACGGTGGCCACGGAGTTGTGCACATTTTCCAAAGCTTGCACTTAAGATGTATTAAAGTCTGTGCATTTCACCATATATAATTTTGACCTTGATAAAAATGGTGCCGGAGGGCAAAGGAGAGAAGGACCTAGGTGACCCCAGCTCGGCCCCATGACTCGGTGGCCTCAAGCAAGTTACTAAACCTCTCAGGGCCTCAGTTTCTTTATTGATAAATGGGGTGCTGATGGACTCCTCCCAAGGCCATGGTGATGATCCAACATACAACACAAAGAGGGGAGACAGCTGGTCCGAATGAGGTGCCCTATTCAACCCTTTAGTGGTCTCCCTTCCCACCCCCCTTCTTCCTCTCCCGTGTCCCAGCTCTGGACAATTCTCTCTCCACGAATTTCTGCAGTACAAGTAGGGGAGAAAAGGAGAATGGGACATGTTCTGACCCGACTGAGTGGTAGGGGCCATGTGGTAAAGGGAACAAGATGCCACCACCACCACGTTCTCACTCTGGCAGTCAGCATGATGCTTCCCCAGGTATGGGGTCGTCCGTGCTGCATGGGACAATGTGTCCGTGTCACATAGCTAAAGCTGGCTTGTCTGGCATTCTAGTAACTACGAGTGAATTGAACAGCATAAAGTTAACCTTGAGGCACTCAACGAAATAAAAGTGAAATCCTGTGAAGTTTCTAAAAAAATTTTTTAAAAATGTTTGTTTATTTTTGAAAGAGACAGAGCACGAGCAGGGGAGGGTCAGAGAGAGAGGGAGACACAGAATCCAAAGCAGGCTCCAGGCTCTGAGCTGTCAGCACAGAGCCCGTCGTGGGGCTTGACATCATGAACTGAGAGATCATGACCTGAGCTGAAGCCAGACACTAACCGATTGAGCCACCCAGGAGCTCCTGAATCTTTAAAATTAAATAGAAATATTCTGTATCACAATGTTTGAAAACCTGCTAATCCTTGTCTGTTTATATGCATATTTTATATCTGTCTATCTATCTATCTATCTATCTATCTATCTATCTATCTATCCATCCATCCATCACCTACCTATCACCTACCTACCTATCAACTCTTACCACCATAACTCATATCTAAATGATATCAGAGACTCATTGCTTTTAGGGCTGACAGAACACTTCAGTACCGTTTGGTTTGACTGGTTCATTTTGAGGATATAAGACAGAGACCGGGGGAGGTGCAGAACTCGTCTAAGATCAGGGAGCTGGCTGGTATATGGATCTTTTAGGAAACCCTATCCTCAGCCAGATATCATGGAATATTTACCCCCCACCCCCATTATCAATGGGGTAAATGCTCCTGCAGCTTCCTTCTTATCACCTGTGTGATGCGTGGATGTGCCCAAGGAACCACACCCTGGCAGTTCAGGCCACGTGTGGAAGAATCCCCCCAAAATGTGAATGACTGATGCCGTTATTGAACGGGCTGGAAACAGAAATTGTGGCTTTCAATTACAGCGACGCATACGGGCATTTCAGGAAGGCCACCGGGGGCAGGCGGGGGCAGGCGGGGGCTGGCCTGGATGGCACCGTAGGGTGTTTATGCAAAGGAAGCTGCGGTTTCTACCCATCGGAGGCCCAGCCAAATGCAGGGATGAAGTACTTTACAGGACGACGCACCGGGGGAGTTTAGAAGAGGTGTGCGAGTCAGACTGAGGAAATCGTCTGCGAGGGTCCATGCTCGCGAGCTTGCAGGAATTAACTGCAGGGTCTGAAAATGTGATTCGAACAAGGGAGGAGCATCAGAAACCGAGAAATGCAAGAAATACCTTGAAGACCACATGCAGCATCATCTGGAGGCCGCTTTTGCCGGGGTATTTCCCGGCAATGTTGGTTGCAGACAAGTTGAAGAGGTTGGCCCCTGTTTCGGTGCAGATGGCATGGACCAGCATTTTCTTCCCTACCCCAGATGGCCCCGCCAGCAGCAGGGATTTCACCAAAGGGGCGCTCTCATGCACTGCTGCCGAACCTAAAAAAGTCAGAGGCATAGGCTCTAAAATCCCACGTAAGTGCCTCTTAGACCCTCAAGGCTGCTCTGCCACCGTGTGACCTTGGATTCCGCAACAGGGAAGAACATGTCTGGAGGATTTCTTCCCGGAGGCCCCCTTCCGTCTTAGGCTGTGATACCTTTGATTTGTCTGTCAGGGCTCGAGGAGGAGCCAGAGGGTCTCCATACATTGCTTCTCTGCTGCCCCTCACCCTAGAATTCCAGCCCCCCCCAACTCATCATTTTAAAGGATATTCCTGCAATAACTCACCTCTAGCATTTTTTTAGGGTATGTGTGTGTGTGTGTGTGTGTGTGTGGATTTCTCTGCTTGTCAGCAGTGGTGCTACATTCTTTGAAAGCTTAGGGAAAAGAATGTGGACGCACGGCCGGTAAGGAAGGCTGAGAATGTTCATTAGCGATTCTCAGAAGGGTTGGGGAGGGGGAACTTCGTCATTCTGCCTGGGGTTCCCGCCTGCAGCAGGGGCAGCATCAGCCTGACACTGGTTGGTGAAGTGACCCGAGTTCTCTGCAAGGCATCAGAAGCCCCCACACTGTCCGCCTCCTCCGGGCCAGAGCGGGACTTGGGTTTGAGCATCTTCTATCGTTCTGAACACACGCAGAGAGCACATTGGCGCTAAGTGATTTATACCAGGAACGGAATGACTGTGATCAAAACATCCCATATCATGTGACTTTGCTTTGGTCAACTACTGGGCACTTTCTGATCAGCTGTAAATAGACCCATGTTGCAACTATGATTGTGCCTTTCTTCCCCTCCATGTGTCATTGAAAAGATATAGGGAATTCACCAAGTAACCAGAAACGTTTTTTATGGTTACCTAACATAAACTTGGAACCCAGTTTTGAGCAAGTTCTGTTTAAAATGCAATTACAGGGGTGCGTGGGGGGCTCAGTCAGTTGAGTGTCTGACTTTGGCTCAGGTCATGATCTCAATCGGTTCCTGAGTTCCAGCCTCACATCGGGCTCTGTACTGACAGCTCAGAGCCTGCTTTGTGTCCTCTGTCTTCCTCTCTCTCCCCCTCCCCAGTTCATGTTCTCTCTCTCTCTCTCTCAAAAAAAAAAAAAAAAAGAATAAAATGCAATCACATAGGCATGCTTTATCGGTGGTCAGTGGGGGATATGGTAACATAATATGATAAAGGAGATACTGTTTGTCATGATAGAGAGAGACGCAATTCATGGAGTGGTCCGTTCAGTCCCTGGTCTTGGGGGCTGCTCCCTTCATGGCCCTGGCTGGGGCCGGTGGGGGTCCCATGTGGGGGAGTCATAGCTTGTTGCAGAGGGTTATGGCCAGGACGGGAGCTAAACCTCGGTGGAGGCAGCCAGAAAGGGAGGCAAATAGTGCTGAGATCCATGTAAGCCACAGAGGGTCCAGAGAAGAGCTTAATTCCACCTCGGGGGATGGGGGGCTCAGGTCTGACTTCCGGGAGAGGGCGGCCTCGGAAGGGGCAGAGCTGGACCGTGTAGATATGGGGACACGTGAGAAGAAGCCAGGTGACAGAGGCCCCGTGACTGTAGGCCCGGAGTGGGAAGTCGGGCAGGTACTGGGAAGTGGCACATAGTTCTTACTAGCCACGGGGCAGGGGCAGGGCCTGGGGCCTGACGCCAGCCGTAGAGGGTTCCTGGAAAGTGGCTGGTGAAGCCAGGGAGCAGGGAAAGGTCCTGGGAGGGGTGGGGGAGGACAGACTCTGAGGAGGGGGCAGCAGGAGGGAAGCCACAGGGACGGGGAGACCCAGGAGAACGTGTGCTGTTTACTCCAGGGAAGTGACTTTCTGGAAGGAAGAGGGTGGTCACCAGGGTCACTCAGAGAAGGGAAGGCAGTGGTCAGGGGAGGCCTCTGCACGTGGGGCTGATCCCTGGACAGCCCATCAGACGGGCAGGCACACCTGCCTCGGTGTTCACGGCTCTTCGTTGCTTATATGGTCTTTTAATAGCAGTTAAAAAAAAAAAACGCAGAATCACTAAGAGTCCAGGCTTCTGTGCATTCACCCTTTCCAGCACTCGGAGGATTCAAGAATCACAAGTTGGCCAGTGGTCCGTGTCCTTCCTAAACCCAGCCCTGTCACTGCCTACCCTGGACCCTGAGAAAGTTCCTCGGCACCCCGGAAAGGCTCACTCCCTACCCTGGACCCTGAGAAAGTTCCTCGGCACCTGGAAAGGCTCACTCAGCTGCAAACGCGGGGACTGAAACGTGTGTAAAATGATGTTTCTGCTCCAGGGGCGCCCTCCCCTCTTCCTCTCCTCCCTCTGTGTTCTGAGGGACAGTAATATTTCTGGGAGGGTGAGTGGGTGAGTGGTGGCCAGCTGCATCCTGGGAACTCCCTCATCTGCCCAAGGGGCTTGGAAAGCTCACACCTCGCCCCGGGGTCACTGGCGGAGGCCCTGGGGGCCAGGCGTGCAGAGGCGCCTCACCGTGGGTCCTCAGGGCCCTCTGCAGGGTGGCCGTATTGACCAGTCCCGGCTGTGGTGACCTGACCACCAGGGCCAACAGACACATTCCTTCTTGAAACTGGAAGCTATTTCAGGTCTGTGACATTTAAATGAAGCACTGGAAGGCAGATCTGTGAGCGAACTTGCCTGTCTGGCCTGTTTGTGTCTTGCATACACACACATACACACGCACACTGGCGTGCGGGTCATGACAACAAGCGCCAGCCCGATCTGGGGCCTGGGGAGGTTGGCGGCCTGTGGGGACTCCAGCCCCCTCTTTGACAAAGGGGGGCTCGGGTGGGACGCTTCCTGAGCATCTTTCTTCTGATGCCTTTGCGCCACCTGGCAAGCGACCTCTGTCACCTCTGTCCTCGAGCCACGGCTCAAACATACCTCCCCTCATTTGTTAGGAGTCCCGTTGAAAGAAACATGCAGGTTCTTGGCACTCTCTGCTCTCCAGCCCTTCAGTCACGTGATGGAGGCTGAGGGCTCATCATGAGATTTGCGTGGGCCTCGTAAATACTGCATATTTTTTTATTGACCCCAAATGACACTGACCCTAAAGTATATACGCTTATTTATGACATAAATTTTATATGTGTGAAATTTAGGTTGGCTCCTCCAATTCCATATACTACTTTATTTTCTTTTTAATTTTTTTAACATTTATTCATTTTTTGAGAGAGAGATAGTACAAGCGGGGGAGGGACAGAGAGAGGGAGACACAGAATCCGAAGCAGGCTCCGGGCTCTGAGCTGTCAGCACAGAGCCCCACGTGGGGCTTGAACTCACGAACAGTGAGATCATGAACTGAGCCGAAGCTGGACGCTTAACTGACTGAGCCCCCCAGGCGCCCCTACCATTTATTACTTCTCATTGAAGAATGAGTTATTTCTTGCCAGTACATTTAAGTCAAAATGGAATAATATTATAAGTGCCTAAACTATTCCCATACCATTGATTTATTTATTAAAAAAACTTTTTTTAGAGAGAAAATACATGGGGGAGGGGCAGGAGACAGCAGGAGAGAGAGAGAGAAAGAGAGAGAGAATCTTAAGCAGACCCCATGCTCAGCTCGGAGCCCAACTCCTGGGCTCAATCTCCTGAACCGTGAGATCATGACCTGAGCCGAAATCAAGAGTTGGACGCTCAACTGACTGAGCCACCTAGGTGCTCCTCTCATACCATTTAAAAACTAGTTAAATGAAACATGGCTTCTATTTCAGAATTGTCACCAGAGCAAAGCTTGGCTGGGGTTCTTACCTCTGCCCCAGATGACTCAGGCCATGCACATAAAAAAGTCATAAAATAATAACAGCTAATGAGAGCAGCTATCTCTGCTGACTTTCTGCACCTGCCCACACACCGCAGAACTCTGGTCCGTTGGTCTGAACAATCGCGATCGAGTCCTATTTAGCGGTTGGAGCCGACATCAGTGAAAACTGGCAGAGCCTTGATCCTTCAGATCCATGAAATTCACTTTCCCTGACTCATGAAAGGCCGGCTTTGTTAAGGACCTAGTAACGGAAGCCTGTGTATAAAAGGCAAGCCTAACGTTAGCCCTTTGTCTAATTTGATTAATTTTAATTGCAGGTGCTGGCTTTGGTTATCATCTCTCCGGATGACAGGACTTTCAGCCCAGAATGTCAAGCAGCACTCCATAGCAGTGCAGGCGAGTGTTCCCTGGGCACCCCCACCCCCACCCCCGTGCTGTCTGGGATGTGCAACAGAGCGACCCTCACTCAGAATTCTCAGTAGGAAGAGTTCAGCCAGGAAGATACTGCCAGCGCCCGCAAGCAGTGTGCCCCTGCTTCTAAGAAAAGTGGAGTCTTTACCTAGAGGCAAGATCCCGTACAAGGCGATGAGCTGTCTGACATCCAGGAGGGAAGGCATGGGCTCTATGGACACTTGGCGAAGAGTGGTCCCCAAGTAACTGTACTCTCCTGGGGGAAAGAAACAGAGGATCAGGACATGGGGGGCTGCGCGGGGCCGAGCCGCATCATTTTGGCTCTTGCGGCACTAACGCAGAATACACGTTCAACGTTTCTGAGCAAACATGATGGTCTTACGGAGTCGTAACGAAGAGCACCTCTTTTTTCAGACAGAAGCTTGAGAAAAACGCTCCAGTCGTGTAAACACGGCTATCCCGGCTATGGTGACTGTGGATTCCCTTGAATCTGACACTGACTTCCTAGTACTTCCAAAGATAATCTTTGAATATTAAAGATGTGAAGTAGCACAAAGTTCCAAAATGCATGACATACAAAGTACACTAAAATATGATGGGTTTTTATTCGATTTATAGGCGAAGCGATTTTGTCCAACATCTGCACAGACTTTACCAGTAAATTATTTAAGATCAATGTGGAATTTGTACTGGAGCAGGTGTACATCTGAACTAAAACGCGATCATTTGGAAGGAAGGCTAGGAGTCTAATTTAGGATAAATAGAAACATCTCCTTTGGAGGGCAATATTCATTTACATTTTTATCATTTTCGAAGGATTACCAAAGGAATAATAATAGAAATAAATCTTTACAGGTTTAATTAGAAGGCATCAAAGGTCTTAATTGTAACTGGTCATAAATCTGAAGTGTTATTTTCTAACTAATTTGGATAAGGTCACCAGGAAAATTAGTTTGCCCGTCTCCATTTGTCATGAGGAAGGACCTTTACATGCTCATGCAGTTCTCTCTTGATTTGTACCTGAGTCTGAAGGAAAAATATTCAGTGCATGAGTCACAGTGTCTTGATCGTTTTTTTCTGATCTTTTCTTTCTATAAGAAGTATGGGTCTTACAGAGCTTTGGATGTGATACCTGTGTGTCAAATATAATGCACTTCCGTGTATGTGAAATGAGAGAAGCTTTAAACAAGCATTTTCGATGCTAAGAAAATCAGAGTTAAAAACCAGCTAATGATGGTGGTTTTGTTGTGGAAGGCAGGCTTTCAAAGCTTCCGCAGGAAAAACAGTGCTTGGCAAGGACAGTGGGTATTGGTGGAGGGAATGAGCGATAATGAAAGCGTCTATTGTGGCTTCCGATCCCCGAGCTTTTTAATGAGCAGGTAATAAAGAGAAGAGTGGTTAATTTCACCTTCACCAGAGCAGAAAGAGATCCTGTAGCCACCATTAAATCCAGTGCTTATTGCTGTAAACATGACATTAGAGGTGATCTGAAAGTGACCCCAATTTTCCTGCTTAAATAAATCCATATTACTATCCAGATGCACCATATTTCCTAGAACCTAACAGATTTTATTTAGACGCATCATATTAAATTGAATTAGTGATCATTCATTCTGATGGAGCGAAGGACACACCAGCCCCGGCCGCCTGCCAAATGTTAAGACTCATCTCGAAAGTGTTTCGCCGTGTTTTGTGGTTGCCCAGCATGGAAGACATAAACCCTGCCCATCTATTCAGGCAGAACTTAGAACCTTCAGGATTCCCTGCACAGGTATCAGGTCTCTCTCCGGAGAGGGAAGAAGGAAATGGTGGATGAAAAGGTGTGTTAGACACAAGACAGGGGCAAGGGTAATCAAACCTACAACAGTGGATGGAAAAGACCCAGGGAATGTGTTACGGGCGGGATCGTGTTTCCTTAAAATTCTGATGCTGAAATCCAGATCCCCAGTATCTCAGAATGTGACCTCGTTTGGAAATAAGGCTGTTGCAGATGAACTGGTGAAGGCGAGGTCGTGAGGGGGGCCCCAGTCCCAGATGACTGGCGTCCTGCATAAACTGGGGAACTGTGCACACAGACGTGCACTCAGGGAGGGCGGTGGAGATGGACGCAGGCGTGGGGAGACGCAGCAGAAGCCAAGGAACGCCAGAGGCACAGCAAATCGTCCGGGGACATGATGAGGGAGGAAATGATGAGGTCACATCAGGTCAGGGAGGGCGAGGGAGGCGGAGCAGCCAGGGGGAGGGCTGGGGGTCAGGAGCAGGACAGATGTGGGGCTGGGGAGGGGTGGGTGTGGGGGGTCCCAGCAGAGCAAGCGGCAGCTCCTTGTGCCCTTGGGAGGAAGCAGCCCCGATGACATCCTGATCGCACTAGTGACCTCCAGACAGTGAGGGGATATGTGTCTGCTGCTGGGGCCCCTCGGCCTGTGACAGCTGTCACAGCAGCTGTAGCAAACCAGTGCGGAAGGAGTAAAATAATGGAAGAGAAGATGGGCATAACAGCAGTAAAAAAAAATAACGATAAATAAAAAAAAATCTTGAAGGTGGGATCAGCCTCGAAACTTTCCATTTTACCCCACACAGCATTAAAAAGGGTATGAAAGGGGTGTCTGGGCAGCTCAGTCGGTTAAGTGTCTGACTCTTGGTTTCAGCTCAGGTCATGAGCTCAGGGTTTGGGAGTTCGAGCCCTGCACTGGGCTCTGTACTGACCGTGCGGAGCCTGCGTGAGATCCTCGCTCCCTCTGTGCCCCTTCCCTGTTCTTGAGCACTTGCTCCCCCTCTCTCCCTCTCAAAATAAATGAATCAAGTTAGAAAAAAAAAGGGTAGGAAGAACAGAGTAATTTCTAAGAAATTCTAGCTTCCTAAATACATTCCTCAGGGGCAAGGGGTGGAGGCTGAGGAACAGACGCTGCTGGTGGGTGTTTGGGCCGTCCCCCCACCCCCGACTGCAAGGATGTCCTGCTCCCCCCCCCCCCCGTCAGGGCTGCACATGGCACCATCTCCCAACGACAAGGATGGGGGCACCTCCTACGTGGTTAAAATTCAGGGGAACTGACTTGTTCATAACTGTTATGTCGGACACAGGCCGCCCAGCTTCCGGAACGAGGTCAGCAGACAGACTGCTCCAGGCTGACTTCGTGGTGTGACAGAGGCGGGCCAAGATTGTGCACCTGCTGGGTTCCCACCTGCTCCGAAGCTTTGGGGGTGGGGGTGGGGGCTGGGGGGGGGGTCTCCTATGTAAATATTTAAGTTGTACCTTCTAAGCCGGGCCGTGGAGAAGCTGTTGGGTGTTCTCATCCGTAGGGCAGGTTCTGAGCGCCAAGGCGAGTTCGAGAAACACTACCTCTGGTCTCGAGTGGGACAGGATAACTTAATTGAGGGGAGTATTAATTTGTGTTTGTTCTCCCTATATCTTGCCCTCAAGCAGTGGCTGCCCACTCAGCGCTTCGTGCTTCTGAGACGTGGACTGGTGGGGGGGGGGCACAGAGATACCACGGAGTCACCAGCCCTCCGAATGGCAGCCCTTGAGCCTGCCAGAGACGGGCAGGACTCTAGCTAGCTCTGCGCGAAGCATGGCCCAAATGCCCTCTCTCCCAACTCATGAAATTCTCACAGTGATTTCACGGGGCAACTGCCGTTAATTCTCTCATAATTGTGGAAACTGAGGCACAGAAGAATTACAGAAAGGCCACACCTCCTTCAGAGGACGAGGGGTGGGGGGAAGAGGCATTTCTGTCTTCCACATCTTATTTCTCTTAAAGCCATATTTGCGGACTTTAAACAAATGTTATTTATTTATTTTGAGAGAGAAAGTGCAGGCCTACAATATGTACATGTGGGGGAGGGCCAGAGAACGAGGGAGAGAGAGAATCCTAAGCAGATTCCCTAGGTGGGGCTTGATCTCACGACCCCAAGATTATGACCTGAGCTGATGCTAAGAGTCGGACGCTCGAATGACCGAGCTGCCCAGGCACCCCTTATTTCGTGACTTTGTTCATTTTTGTATTCATTATAATTTATTCTCTTCATTTCTAATATTCCTTGAGTTTTGTCATCTCACTTCTGATTTTTTCTAATTCCATGCTATGTATTCTTACATTTCTTTTTTTTTTTTAATATTTTTATTTATTTCTAGGAGAGAGAGACAGCGTGAGCAGGGGAGGGTCAGAGAGAGAGGGAGTCACAGACTCCGAAACAGGCTCCAGGCTCCGAGCTGGCAGTCAGCACAGAGCCCGACGCGGGGCTCGAACCCACGATCCGCGAGATCATGACCTAAGCGAAAGTCGGACGCTTAACCGACTAAGCCACCCAGGCGCCCCTCTTACATTTCTTTTTTTAAAAAATTTCTTTTAATGTTTATTTATTTTTGAGAGAGACAGAGTACAAGTAGGGGAGGGGCAGAGAGAGGGAGACACAGAATCCAAAGCAGCTCCAGGCTCTGAGCTGTCAGGCGCACAGCCTGAGCGGAAGGGGACACTTAACCCACTAAGCCACCCAGACCCTCAGACATGTCTTTTTGTGGTGTTAATTTGTTCCTTATTCTTTCTTTTTGCTAGAAACTTTGCATGGGCTTTGACCTTTTATGTGAGACAACATTTCTCTACTTTAGAGGAGTGCTTGGCTCAGCATAGCTTTTCAAACGTCACAGAGCCCCCCCTCTGTTGTTTTTATATAAATTAAAATCATGGTGTGCTTGCTTTGAGTCGCGTACAGACCTTCTGGTTTGGCCCTCTGTGCATCCCCGCGAGTGCCCGCGGGTATTTTGACATTCCTCTGCTCTGTGTCCCCGGTTGGCTCCTACTTTGGGGTCAGAGGGGAGACCTCTCACTTTGCTTTGGTGTAAATGTCTGCGGGTTTTTGTTTTTGCTCTCTGGCTGCTATTTTTATGCAGGGATTTGGGACCATCCACTGCCATCTTTCAGGCTAAAGATCTTAACTGGGAAAAAATAAGGAAAACATGGAAAAAGCCCTTTTGAGATTCGACTGATTTTGTTAGACTGTGTCACTGTCATTTGAGGTCACTCTTAAGTGTCTGACTGCATTCACTTTGGCCTTAGGTGTCATAAAGGTGTTGCCTGGAAACTGACAGAGAGATCATTGCAAAGTCCAGGAGGGACAGGAACTCAATAAGAAGATGAGAGATATGTCTATTAAGTTATTTTTGTAGACTCTACCTTGTGCCTGTCTAATCACTAGAAATTCAGTGATGACAGAAAGACACAATGTCACAGGAGAAAGCAGACAAGAAGTCAGAGATCTCAACCACAGGTAAAGAGACAGAGTTCTGTTAAAAATGTCTTTTTTTTTTGTATTAACAGAATTAACAGAACATGATCAAGGGAATCCAGGAAAAAATCCTTTGGTAATTGAACAAGAACCATAAAATAAACAGAAACCCAATACACATTTCAGTATATATTCTGGTAAAATTCTTATACTATTAGGGAATATGAATGCTCTCTCAAGCTAGCTAGCTTCCTTCCTTCCTTCCTTCCTCTCTCTCTCCCCCCCCCCCCCCCCCCCCCGCTTTCTTTCAAGTTTATTTACTTATCTTGAGAAAGAGGATGAACTGGAGGGGTAGAGGGAGAGAGAGGGGGAGAGAGAGAGAGGGAGAGAGACAGAGAGAATGTTGAGCAGGGTCTGCACTGTCAGTGCAGAGCCCGATGCAGGGCTCAAACCCACCAACTGTGAGAGCATGACTGGAAGTCGAAATCAAGAGTGGAATGTTTACCTGACTAAGCCACCCAGGTGCCCCATGTGGTTTTATTTCGAAGGGATTAAATTAATCACTTTTTGATCAGTGGGAAATGTCAACCGTCTTGTTCCAATGGGCCAAAACTAGGTCAATGTATAACATCAGAATGAATAAGATGGAAACTGATTATAATTCAATAAACAAGAGAGAATCCAGGTTTTTACATTGATACCATGACAATTTCAAAAAAGGGTGGGAAGGAAATTTCTTCCTAGAAGAATGGCACCTTCTAAACATAGAAGGGAAGATAGAATAGAACATCCCCATTTTACAGCTGCCCTAGCAATAATCGATGCAGGCAAAAATCATCAGGGGTTGATAAAACCTTTAAACCAGTTGGGGACAGAATCTCCAGAGCCTCAAAGATCCCCCTTACAGGTTGTTCACTAACAAAGGGGAACATGAAGCTTGACAGTGGAGAAATCTGGGGAACAGCGCCTTGGCCAGTGATGAAACGTAACACCCCCCAGTGATGGGACACAGGTGCCCCCACGTGCAACTCTGAGGACACACTGTCACCTACAGTCTTCCTACCAAAAATAGCTTCACCCGAGTCAAGTCATGAGGAAACCATCAAACCACTTCTGTTGAAAAACAGTCTGTAAAACAGCTCAGACTCTGACGGTCAGTGGCGTGAAGGACGTCAGGTTGGAAGTTGCTCCAGATTAAAGGGGCGATGAAGCAGTTATGAACACCACATCCACGGTCCTTGATTGGATTTTGGATTCAGAAAGATAAAATCTTATAAAGGACACCATTGGGACAATGGGGGCAAGGGAGAGGTTGTTGATTACTTGTTAAGTAACAGCATCATAGTGATGCCAAGTTGTGTGAGTGTCATTATCCTTTCGTGGTTATGTGGGAGAATGTCCCAGTTCACGGCAGGTACAGGAAAGTGAAAATCACACCTGTGTTAGGGGGCTGGCATTACAAGGAATTTTAAGATTTAAGTGTGTTTTCAGGTCTTCGTGTTGTTTTTTAAAAATTAAGAAAAAACATTTGTTGAAGATGGTGTCAGAGAATGTCCCTCCTCCTTCCTTCCAGCGGCCTGTGTGGTGGTCCCTTCTGGAAGGAATTCCTCCCGTAAGAACTGTGCGTTCAAGTTCCGGGTGCCATCCTGTGGGGCATTTTGTTTCAACGTGAAGATATGAACAATTCATTTCCTCAGTTTAGCTTATTCCAGACAATTTGCCCCGAGGAACTCTGCCAGTAGGTTCAAAAACCTGCCTCTGCCACGTGACAGGGGTGGGGTGGGGTGGGGTGGGGGGGTGGGGTGGGGGGGGAGCTGGACGTATTAGTTCAAAGCACAGAATGAATTCAAATTCATTCCATCCAACAAAACTCCACTACAAGCCTTGGGCCAGATTTTGATTGGGGCAAAACCCACAAATAAAACGTATTTCCAGCTGTTGGGACCTCAACACCCAGGGCGGGGGCATATGTGGCCCATATATGCGTTATTCTTGGTGCAGCTTACCGATGTAATCAGAGAGGTTGACGTTCAGAGCCCGGATCAGCAGCCCTTCTTCCACCAGCTCCTTATACAGAGACTCAATGGTCCTGGTAACAAAACAGACCAGCTAGTCTGTGAGCAGACGCGTAATGTCAGCATTTCTGTTCATCATCACATATGCAGAGAACTTTCCCCAGATCTATTCCTATGCACATTTGTATTGATGCAAATAAGTTGGCTTTTGGAAACACTTCTACAATTTAGGGACATATTAGACTTTAAAAACAATACTTTCGCTCACCCACATGTACATCGGACGTTTTCCATTAATAAGAATTATATCCGTGGGCATCTGAGACCGGCTATAGCTCCTGCAGCCTGCCCTTTCATCAATCTTTGTGATGGCACAAATATGAATTAGAAATTGCCCTATAATAGCAGTGCAATGGGCTCACAATTATATATTCAGTTAGCATGTGCAAACCACCGTAGATCATCAATCCTTTGTGCAATGGATGCTTCCTTTTAACCCAATAGCTTAATGGTTTAAAAGAAATATTGATAAAGAACAAAGGCTCATAGGGGAACTAATTCTACCCCAAAAGATAAAATGTCTAACACGTGTGTGTGTGTGTGTGTGTGTGTGTGTGTGTGTGTGTGATGATTTTTTAGGAGGATGTTATACTTTTCCATAGTGTTTACAGATGTCAAAACCACTACTCTAACGGGGCCTTGGGCATATAGCCAGCACACTGGTAATTTAGACTAATTGAAGAAAAAAAATCAAGACAGTATCCCACTGAATAAGTGAAAGTCCCAGTGAAATTAACTGGGGCTTGGCTTCTAGGAATTCAGACAGGTCGAGCTTAAATACTGACTACAATCCTTTGAGATGCTTCGTCTGTTCCATTTTCATTTCTAGAGCTTTACTCTTTATTTCTACCCTAGTCTTTCTTCAGAATGAAGAATTGTAAATATAACTATATTTAACTAGTTCTATGATCCAGGTCAGTGTGATAAAGAATATCGGTTATATTTAAGCCAAATACCATTGGGATACATGTTAATTTAATGACTTCGATCTTTGATTGACTGCAATTTTACTCTTTCAAATATATTTAAAATAGTGTTTAAATTAAAACAGTGTTTAAAATTCTGCTGTGAATTAAGGCTGTAATGGGACTTGGGATAACAGTACCTGATCTGTATCAAGGAGGTACGAACTAGTTTTCTAACTAGAATACTTACTTGATATAAACATGTAACATACGCCTAAAATATTCAACATAACATTGAAGAAGATTCTCTAAAAAAATCGGAACAAAATATATTAAGACGCCTGGAACACAAGCCCATATTTCGATCTTTCCGGTGAAACGAACTACTGTTATGGAATAAAAAAACATTTTCAACTTTAAAACTACCTTAAATATGGTGAAAGTGTTCGTTTTGGGTTTAAATTAACTTTATGAGAGAAACGGAAGCTGTCTTCCGGAGTCGTGGCAGAACTGGCCTCGTCTAGAGGACAAGGTCTTCAAGATTGAAATGAAAAATCTTCCAGGAACGAGATGATGGGCTATTTCTGGGCTTTGGTGCCAGGGCTCCAGGCACGTGCCGGGGCATCTGCTTCCCTCTGGATGGTTCTAAGCTGGCTTCCTTTCTCATGGTCTCTCAAGCAGAGTTTGGGACTGTGTCCCTGCTACCCAGGGGAGGACTAGGGAACACCCCAAACAGTTGTATCCGTTAACACGTGGTGCACGTTAACAAAACCCACGGGAAGAAAGGCATTCCTTCAGAAGGATTTCTTTTGTTTTTTTTTTTTAATGTTTATTTATTTTGGGGGAGGAGAGATGCAGACAAAGAGGGAGATTGAGGATCCCAGGCAGAATCCATGCTGTCCGCACAGAGCCCAACGGATGTGGGGCTCAAACTCACGAACCTTGAGATCATGATCTGAGTCGAAATTGAACACTCAACCGATTGAGCCACCTAGGCGCCCCTCAAAATGATTTCTGACATTCACTTATTAGGGATTTAATTTAATTCAACTTTACTTTTATTTGTTTATTTAATTGTGAAGTATAATTGACATATATTATCTTATTAGTTTCATATGCATATCATAGTGGTTAAATATTTATATACATTACAAAACAGTCGCCATGATAAGTCGAGGTACCACCCGTCAGCATACGAAGTTAATGCAATGTATTCTCTGTGTTGTGTGTTATGTCCATGTGGCTTATTTATAACTGGAAGTTTGTACCTCTGGATCCACTTCATCTGTTTTATGTGACTCCCCAGCCCTCCCCCATCCGGTGACCACTAGCTTGTTTCCTGTGTCAGTGAGTCTGTTTCTGTTTTGCTGCATTTGTTTTGTTTATCTAGTTTTTAGATTCCACTACATTCTTTGGAAATATCTGAAAACCTGAGTCCTATAGCCAAAACATGGAAAGAGCCTAAATGTCTATCACCTGACGAATGGATCAAGAAGATGTGGTTTATCTATACGATGGAATACTACATGGCAATGAGAAAGAATGAAATCTGGCCATGTGTAGCAACATGGATGGACCTTGAGGGTGTTATGCTGAGTGAAATAAGTCAGGCAGAAAATGACAGATACCATATGTTTGCACGTATAGGAGGATTAGGAGGAACCTAACGAAGGACCATGAGGGAGAAGAAGGGGAAAAATAGTGGGGGAGAGGGAGGGAGGCAAACCATGAGAGACTCTTGAATGCTGAGAACAAACTGAGGGCTGATGGAGGTGGGGGAAGGGGAGGGGGGAGATGGGCATGGAGGAGGGCACTTGTGGGGATGAGCACTGGGTGTTACATGGAAACCAACTTGACAATAAACTATTAAAAAAAAAAGAAAACCTATGTCCTATTTATTTCCAATGTTAAAGCACTGAACGGCCATTTCAGCTTAAAAAAACGAGCATTTAAAATGATTCACGAAGGGGCGTCTGGGTGGCTCAGTGGGCTAAGCATCTGACTCCTGGTTTCAGACCAGGTCATGATTCACGGTTCATGGGATCAAGCCCCCCGTGGGGCTCTGTGCTGATGGTGCAGAGCCTGCTTGGGATTCTCTCCCCCGCAAAAAAAATTAATAAATAAACTTAAAAATAAAATGATTCATGAGTATCAAAGTTTGGCCAGTGGAGCTCAAGGAAATGGAAATACCCCTTGATGAGATAAAACCTCATCCTTTCCTTCAGTGAGCGTTTAGGAAGTGCCCAGTGGGCCCAGCCCAGGATAAGGCAGGGCATAGAAGCTGACTTTCCCCTGAGGAGTCTAAGCATTCCCTCAAAAGTTGGATCAGGATGCTATTTCTTAAACAATTCTTTAAGAACCCCATGAATTTTAAAAACTTAAAGGAGTCGCACGATCTCAGAAGTGATGGGGCCCGGCCTCGGTTCTAGTGCGGGAGGCCAGAGCGGTCCCAGCACCTGGTGGGTGAAGCCGGTGTGCCCAGAGAGACGCTGGCTCGGGCTGCCGTCCTTGGCTGCGCCCTGCGCTCTGCTCTGGGGGGACCCCCTTGCCGTGCAGTACAGCAACGCTCATGCACACCTCACCTGTCAGCTGTCAGATCTTTATCCTTCTTCCCTTTTTTCCCTTTGTTCCCTTTCTTTTTCTGGAAAAAAAATGAAAAAAAAGCCACCAATTTAGTAAAGACAAGCGAGCCAATTAGCTCTAGTGATTAGCTAGGGAAGCCTTTTTTGGTGGTGGCGGCGGGGAACGGGATGGGAGTGTCAACTGTGGTGCACAGAGCGGGTGATTGTAAAATTTTCCTGGATGTAGGGCTTGGCCTGGGAACCCCCAGCGTGCTTATGTGGCATTTCCCTGCCTGGGTGGACAGTGAGGTCATCATTGTGAAACTTGCACGGGCCTGATTCCCAGCAGGCGCCCAGCACTCTGGCTCTCTGCCTGTGGGCTCTCATGTGCAGAGGAGAGCGCCGCGTGCCCAGGCCATCATGCTGTGCTGGTCTTTGACACCCTGTCTCCCGCTCTGTTAGCATACGGCCCCAGATCTGGTTCCCAGAGGGCTCTGCATTCTGACCACTGGGACAGCTGGAGGGAAGGGCTTGGGATGTGATCTTTCCAAACAGAGCTGATGGCTTCACTGCTCTGTCTGAAGCATCCACTGGTATCTCCCCATTTGTCCACAGGATGAAGCTAAAGTTCGCCAGCATGGTGCATGAAGTCCTTTCAGCCTGGCTCTCTCATCCTTCCCTGGCTCATCTTCCATCGCAGGCCTCCTTGGGCCGCCTGCGCGTGCTGTCACGCAGACTGAATGTTGGACACTTTCTTAATGTCCCAGCATCTTTCCCTCCTGCATGTCCATGTCCTCATTCATTCGTTCATTATTTTTATCACATATAATTTATGTGCAGTGAAGTATACCCACATCCAGGCTGATTACCTGTTGCGTTCAAATTTTACATATAACCAAATAAACACCTCCTGGCTCAACATCTAGAACATCTTGTCCCTGGCCTATCTCTCAAGCCGCTTTCCAGTCTATGGGTAGCTGCTCCTCTGACTTCACTGTGGATTCATGTTTCCCGTTCTTGTACATGTAATCGTACAATATGGATTCCGTATGTTCGGCTTCTTTCATTCAATACTATGATTGCCAAGACCCACTGACATGGCTGCACATAGCTAGATTTCATGTTTTTCAGGTTTTTAAAAATTAGAACTTTTATCTTGAGAAAATGGTGGATTCCCATGCAGTCATGAGAAATAATACAGGGATCCTGAGTGCTCTTCACCTGGCTTCTCTCAATGGTAACATCTTCTAGAACTATCTTACAAGGTCACAACCAAGACACTGGTATTGACATTGGAACAGTCAAGATACAGAACATGTCTGTCTCCACCAGGGGCCTCAGGATGTCTTTCCCTGACCCACTCACTTTTCCAGAAACCATGAATATCTCCTGCTATTTCCGTAATTTTGTTCTTTTGAGGATTTTGTATCGACACAATCACCGACTGGATTTTTTTGGTATCATTTTGCTTTTTACTCATTATAATTCTCAGGAAACTTGGCCAGGTCATGGTAGGTATCAATGATTGTTCTTTTTTATTGTTGTTTTCAGTTTTGAGTTATTATGACTCAAGGTGCCATAAATGTGTGCGTGTGTGTGTGTTTCTTTGTTTTTCTGGGATAAATGCCCATGAGTGTCACTTCTGGGTTGCACAGGAGTTTGGTTTGCAAAGAAAGTGCAAATGGCCTTCAGAGTGCCCATACCATTTCACATTCCCACCAATAATGTATTAGCGATCTAGTTTCTTCCCATCCTTTACAGTAACTGGTGTTGCCATTATTTTTTATTTTAGCCATCCTAATGGGTGGGTGGTGATCTCTCATTGTGATTTAAATTTGCATTTCCCTAATGACTGATGGCACTGAATGTCTTTTCCTGTGCTTCCTCCTCACATAGGTGAGTGCCTCTTGTCTTTTGCCCGTTTTTGAATTGATTGTTTTTTAAAAATTTTATTTGAGAGAGAGAGAGAGAGAGAGAGAGAGAGAGAACTGGAGAGGGGCAGAGGGAGAGAGAGAAAGAATCATAAGCAGACTCCAGGCTCAGCATGGAACCTGACACGGGGCTCTATCCCATGACCTTGGGATCATGACCTGAGCTGAAATCAAGAGTTAGGTGCTTAACCAACTGAGTCAATCAGGTGCCCCTAGAGCATCACTTTTTCATGCAGATATGCAAGACATTAACAGAGTCAATGGTGTCACCAATAAGTGGCGTCTACTGATGAGACAATGACTTATAGACAATGACCTATACAATGATGTATCCTCAAAGAGGGCCACGAAGGACATTCAGGCATCACACTGAAAAGTCAAGGTTAAACTGTGAAACTGTGAAGTCAACAGAAGATGGATCAAGAGAGCATCATCCTCAAGGGGCTGGAAGAACGAGACACTCACATAGCTGGATGTATGAAAAGCTCCAGGACAGGATGTGAATTGCAAAAGGGGCTGATCAGCCAATGGAACCCTGAGAAAGCCATCACACTTGTGGACACGGCCAGGGAGGGCACGTGTGGCCTCTCCCTGGAGGGTTCTGGCCCTGGTGGTGGGACTGGCTGTGGGATGAAAGTCGAAGTCGGGGTCTAGGTTAGGAAAAAGCCAGTTCTTCCCTCTTGTGTGTGTGTCCTCAGCTCTCACGTGACTGCCACACACACAACACTTCTGACACCAGAAGCGTGAGTGGGGGGTTCCCCCACCAAACAACACCAAACGGCTGTCCTACAATTCGACTCGGTTCTGACACTATCTACTTGGAAATAGCATCGGTCCCACACGACTGCTCCCCTGCCCCCACATCAGACGCCAGCCTCAAGTCTGGGGTGTTCCCTGTGCTTCCGACTCATTGGACATAAACCTGAGGTTCCCATGACCCCCTCCTCAAGTTTGATTAACTTATTACAGCAGCTCAAAGAACTGAGGGAAACAGTTCACATTTACTGGCTTATGAAAGGATGTGAGAAAGGGCACAGACCACCAGCCAGATGAAGTGGCACGTACGGTGAGGTCAGGGAGGGTACTGAATTCAAGAGTGAGTTTGGGCACATTAACCCCCGGTACATGTGTGTGTTCACCCTCCTGACATTACTGGGATTCCACGGAAGCTTCCTCACACAGGCATGATTCATTATTAACCCAATTTCCAGCCCTTCTACCCTCTCTGGAGGATGAGGGGGTAAGACTGAACATTCTAAGCTTCTAATCATGCCTTGGTCTTCCTGGTGACTGGCCCCTAGACAGGGGCCACCTGAGAGCCCATCCAGAGCTGTCTCATTGGAAGAGAAGATGTTCCGAGTGCTCTCATGACTTCAGAGTTCACAAGGGCGTCTGGGGCTCTGTGTCAGCAACTCGAGGGAGGGACCTATGTATATGTTCCCCGTGATCTCACAGAGTCCCAGTAAGTGAATGTTGAACACTGGGATCTAATTGGCGACTCAAACAGAATGCTGTGAGATGCACTGCTGGCAATTTAAAATAAAATTCGCCTGATTCCCCTACTCACAAAGTGCTTGTGCACTGTCTCTGGCCTCCCCTAGATCTGGGCACATCGCTGGCTCCTCTGACTGTCCACATTGCATCTGTGGGGCTTGGGGAATGCGAATCTGTAGCGGTGGGGGGACAGGGCCGGTCACTCTCAGACTTGGATTTATCCCATTTGTGGGCCCGTATCCCCGAGGACCCACATGATGGAATGAGGCAAAGCCACCCAAGGAAGCATTTCCGTGCGCAGCAACCTGGGTCCGGCCGGTGAGCCAGGCAGCATGGGGATTTAGCACTGGGCACCCAAGCAGCACTCCTGGACCTGGTTTGAATCCATATCTACCTCATTCCTCCTGAGCTCACTTGCTACTACTCACCTTTTTGTCTTTCTTCTTTCCTGCTTTGAGTGGTTGCTCCTTTTCTCTGTTCACGGCCAGTTTCAAGTTTTTTAGTTCCTGCCTCATCAGCTCGTCCACCTAGGTGAGGACAGAACATGCCACTTTCGAGCGACTGTGTGCCTTGTTTTCCTTGTGAAGTTTAAAAATAGTGTTAAATCTGGGTCGGTCATTGACAGGAAATTGTGAAAAAGCCCAGTGGCTTTTCCTCTGCTGACTGGGTTTCTGGTAATTTAAGTGCCCTGTTACCTGTATTCTGATCTCTGACTCCAGTTCCTTCCGTTTCTCCTGTTTGATCAGTTCCGGGTCATAGATCTGGGGGAAATTCCACGATTCGTCTTTATTCTTCCACATGTCTGCAATCCAGAAGGATAAAGAAAAAGAAAAGCAATTTGTGTTTTTCAACATGAAGATGAGTGAAGACAGAGTGATATGAAACACAAGTTTAGTTTTCGATTCTGTTGTGTGGAATACAAATTCGAACAGAAGAATCAAGAGATTAGTGATGTGAGAGCAATGTGGCTCTTGTGTTCTTTCCTTTCCCTTCCCAAATGGGAAAAATATGCTTGTATAATGCCTACAAAAGGGAGAGGGAAACTGCTAATGTGAAAACATAAAATAAAAAAGTATGATACAATGGTATTCTTCTAATGATTATGACCATGTAAAAAACAATATACTAATTGCGGGATATAATATATATAATATAATTATGCAATTGTGGGATGACTGTTTTTGTAACATGTTTTAGATTACTTTCATTATTCCAACGATTGCCTAAAATATGAAAGATTTTATTGCTAGCTGAACTCACGAGTGATTTACCACAGCCCCTTGTTAAAAAACAACATGGAACATGCAAACACCCATGGCTTTCCCCTGAGAGTTATATTTTTTGAATTACTTGTTGGATGTCTTTGAAATCATACATGCTTTACGTTTCCTTTTTGCCTTCTTCTGAGGGTTAGGAGGATAGTTGGAGAAATGTGACCTTAGAAGAAACAAGGATAAATTTTTCATCACTGGGGTAAATTGAACTGAAGCCCATTTCTCAGAGGGGGAGTTCCATATGTGTGCCGAGGTAATCAGGTCAGCTGGTCTCTCCCCACGGAAGATGAGATGGTCAGTCTGGGAAGTGAGATCTTTTCCCAGAATCTGTCATCAGAATGTGATGGAAACTTACCAGAACCCAACCTGCAACCACTACCCAGCATGGCCATGTCACCAGGACCTCATCCTTCGAACAATGATGCTCTTCAACGTGGGGAGTCAACTAAGGGCCACAGGCGCCAGACAGAGGCTTCCCCACACTGGTCAGGTGACGGCTCCACTTGGGGAGAAAGGAGACCGTGTGGGCAGGTGAGGGTGTGCACGGATGGGCCAAGGTTGAGAAATTTTCTTCTCAACCTCCGTCTTCCCTATGGGCACAGACTGGGGATCCTGAGTCTGGCCAGCGGTGTGTCCCCCTGACGCAGCTGACTGAGAAGGGAGGGACAGTCACAGTCACAGACGGGAACATACGTCCGGGTGCTGAAGAGAGCAAGAGGTGTCAACCATGAAGACGGAGAGCAGAGAGGGAGCCTGGGAAGACATATGGGCAAACAAACGAGAAGAGAGGGTCAAATCTGCAAATACGTCACAGGGGTCCGGGGTCAGCAAAAGAGATGAGAGACAAAGGAAGGACAAGATATGGTGTGACCTGAGAAGAGCTGCACATCCCGAAGAGCTGCGGAAACGCAGCTCCAGTTTTCCAAAAGCGTGTTAGCCCCAGGCTGAAGACCCGGCAGTGCTCCCAGTGGCTGGCATGGAAACTTCTGGAGGCAGAAGTGTCACTGCAAGATGTCGCCATGCACGGGTCAGGCAGGTCCACCTCGCTCCCTAGCCACACTGTGGGAATGCAGAGCGGGGCCCAGAGCAGAGCCTGTGTGGAGTCCGGCTCCAGCGAGGGCTCTCAGCCTCCCCAGCTTCCCACCTGGGCACCGAGGGGGGTGTGCAGGCACGGCTCTGTCAGCCCTGGCTAGCCAGGGTCCCTGCCACAACCTGTGGTGATGCAAATTTTGGGGGACAGACCTTGGGAAACAACAATGATGCTAAGACCCCTATTTCTCCTGGGGTAGCTACTGTAGACTTGCAAGAAATAGACAGGAACTAGGTCACAGAGCTGGTGCAGTTTTCACAGAGCTGATTCACCCCGGTGTCTTCTCCCATCAGGGTGGCCGTGTGACAGGTGGCCCTACCTTTGGGGCAGAGATGATGGCAAGGGATGATGGGGCCCGGACGGGTTTGGCCGTGTCTCCTGGATGCCTGCCTGTCAGAGGGTGACCCCGGAGGTAAGGATATCAAGGGATGTCATCACCCAAGCAGGGCGGTTGACCAGCCTTGAAGAGAGTTCATGCTTCTATGAAGACCAAGAGGGAGAAGACCCAAAACAGACTGATGGGGGCCACTTGTGGCAGCAGTGGGCACACAGGAAATTGCTGTAAGGCTAGAAGCTGAGCTTTTATTATTTTAAATAATCACCCCTGTGACCGAGCGTCAGGCGGAGAGGTCCATCCTGTGTTTTACAGGAAAAATTACATAGGTTGTTGATACCAGCCCACCAACGTGTTTTGTTGTTTTAAGCTGGTCATTAGTTGAAAGTTTATTCTTCGTCTCCAACCTTACCTGACAAGGTGGATTTTGTGGTTGGCTTGTAAGGTGTGTGCATGCCCAAGGCATCTGAAGGTAACTTCTTCATTTGAAGGTAACTGTTCCTTCTCAGTGCATTTTCTGAAATGTTCATGAGCTTGAAGCTTTAAAATGTAAAACTAATATAATGCTTCTTCTTATGTGTTTGAAATTGTGAACTTTCTCCCTTGAAAATACTAGAAAAGGTTTAAATGCAGCAAGATGTGCCTTTTACTAACACGTCTTATCCAACGATCTCCCCCTTGCACGATGATTAAATCTCCAACCACAAAACTCACCTGTTTTATTAAGGATATTTTAAAGCGAAATAGCTTTGGTATTGCCGGGAAGCTACTTTGCTTTTTTTTTTTTTCACTAGACGGACTTACTATACTCCGGGAGCAGCCGTATTTCCTAAGGAAAGGGACACAGAAATACTGAGCAAAGGAACACGAGGTGATTGTTTATGAAGAAGCGACGGCACCTCCTAACAGATTCTCATTCTGGGCTTGTAACTGTGGCTCGCACACAAATGTGCGCTTGGCGATCCCTGAACCTCCGCCACCATTCGAAGGGTCCTGGTTTTGCGCGGAAACTTTGCTTTTCTCATGACACTTCTGCACAGGGCACTTCTCAATCCCTTCAAGAATTTCATGGACATTTACAAATGCAGGAAGCTATTCAGGGCCCTCAAAGCGCAACAACTGCCCCAAGAGCTTTCATCCCGAGAATGTGAAAAGCAGGCGGGGGCAGTTTCTCACATAGGGGGCGGTGATTAAAATGCTAATGTTTTATTTGAAAAGGGAAACCTTTGATTTTTGAGAAAAGACTTCTCGGATGAAGACATTGGATTTCTTTCAGTGACCAGAGACCTGGCAGATAACACAGGAAACGCCACAAATCCAGAGAGGAAAACGGCCCTGCACGGTTCCCCTCCCAGTGACCAGTGCCGGGGGGTTTCCTTAGCCTTAACGGAAACAGATACGATACAAACAGCGTCATGGAAACAGATATCACACAAACGGCGTGGAAAGTCTCGAGAACCTTCCCGAGTGGGTCCGCAGGTTGTTAAGACTTGGCTTCCCACGGGAACGTGAGATTTCCCCCAAACTCATGTTTGTTTGTATCAGAATAATACGCGCGCATCGTTTTAGGCAGTCGGAGAGTATGGAAAGGATGATAAACAAAAAGCTGTCTAATTCTGCCTTCCGGTGACATTGCCCAATGGCATTCATTCCTTCATTTAAAAAATGCATTGAATCGATTCAGATTTACCCACAAATGCCATTTATTCATATGTTATTTAGTTCAGGACTTGACTGAGCCTGAGTACGGGGCAGGCTCTGCTATCAGAGGGTGCAGACAGTGGAGGGCCCTGCCTTCTGGGACCCACGTCCTTCTGTGGGGAGACGGGGAAGACCCGCGTCCGGAGGCAGGGAAAGCAGGGTGGGCACAGGGTGAGGCTGGGGACTGTCACCCCCATGGGGCTCAAGCAAGGCCTGCAGGGGCCAGAATTCCAGGCAAGGGGAACCCTCAGCACAAGGTCCCTGAGGAGGGAGGGGCTGGCCTGCTGGTGGCCGAGCGCAGAGCCCACGAGAGTCAGGTGTGAGAACGTCTAGCTGTTTCTCTGTTGTTCTATGTCTGTAATGTGCCCATGCTGCTGCTTCTCAGCTTATTAGTTTCAGACTTGAGCCCCTGACCTCCTGTTATGGCAGATGAGAGGTTTGCCGTCTCTCACCTTCCTTTCCTTCCCCTTATTTTCTCCTGATCATTAATTTCAGAGGAGAAGGGAGCAGGGCCTCCCAGATGCCGAGGGAAATGGTCCTGTTGAGTGTAAGCGGAAGACCATATTTAGATGTATTGGCCTCTAGAGCCGCCCTGCGGCAGCTCCTTCTCTGGATATCCTGGGGGGTTGGGGGGCTCCACCAAAATGAGGGAGTGATGATCAGCAAAAGTGAAAGAAGCCCCAGGATGGCAGATGACAGGTCTCCAAGACGGAGGGCTTGAGCAGAACACGACTGGCAAATGATCGTAGGAGTTGGAAGCTGTGAACAACGCTCTTGGAGGCTGGGGATAGACACGTGGAGTATGGCCGGCGGGGGTGGGTGGGTGGGCCGTAAAGACCAAAAGAAATGTCCCCACAAGTAGCAGCTGTTGCTGCAGACACACCCTGAGTTCTGGTGGCACCCGTAGCTGGCCGGTGACCTTGCAGCCTGATGCCTGCGCCTCCCAGGTCCCTAGCTAGCCTTGGATGCGGTCGCTGCCAGCCTAACTTGCAGAAGCCCTGCCCCCTGGGCCACTGCCCCACCCCATCCACGGCCCCATCCCGGGTGCTGTAAGCATGTAGGCAGCATGTGCCTGCGGGAGCATGCATCTGGGGCCCTGGGGGCAGTGTTTGTTGAATGAATGCATGAGCGCGTGAGTGTTTCTGATAGCGATGGCTCTGCACTGGGGTTTGTAAAGGACTTGATGACTTCTCAAACTTGCGAGGCAGCAGAGGCTCCTTCTCACAAGGCGATGGCTTTGTTTGCTTCCCCTGGTTGTTGGGAAGGGCGAACGAGATGGGCACCGAAAACACAAAGCCTTGCGTGTCTTGGGCACCTAATAACACAACGAGGTTACTGCTTTCACCTCCTTCCTCCCCTATTAAAGCGGATGCCAAAGTCTGCGGAGGTCACCTTTCCCCTGAGCTTCCGCCTTCGTTCAGCATCCCATGCAGTGTGGGACCCCTGCCACTGGGGTCAAGGGAGGGAATTTCGGGTGGTACCTGGACATTTTTATGTCTTGTAACCAGCATCTCAAACCTGAAATGGCATTCGGGTTGCTGGTCAGGATGAGGCTCAATTTATTGTTGGGTAAAAACCATAAGTCAATGAAAAAAAGGTGGTAAATAAATAAAAGTACCAGTGCTGTCTGGACAAGACCAGAATTAGGAAGGAACCACATGCATGGATGATGTGTGGAAATATTCTACTTCACAAGCTTATTGCATTTTTCAGGAATTGCCAAAGGGCACCAGTGACCAGGGTCATCATGACCGGTCATTCTGTGTTGGGATTCATCCTGAGGACGGAGGGGAGCCAAAGGAATTGGATAATTGTTCTAGCAAATTGTAATAGAAATGCTTGAAAGACGAATTCATAGAGGTGCAGGTCTCGTCAGATTATCGTGGTGCTAATTATGCTGAACGGTGGGCAAGAGAATTATGCGTGGGTTTTTGGAGTATCTGTCTTGGTCTAAGAGGATTAAAACACTTTAATGTGCATACGGTATTGCTTTTCTTAATTTGAACAGTACAGGACAATCCCTTTCATTCTCAGGAAGAGAATGCTCAGCTGAAGTCCTAGGGGTTCAAAACCAGAATGGAGGTTTAGCGATAATGTTCTCGTGGTATTCATATCTGGCTCTTTCGCTGATTTTAAACCTTTTAAGCGACTCAAAGGAATTTTGCAGTAGAGACGGACAGAAGATCTGGGCTATGCTATGAGCTGCAGGTTTTCAGCCTCGTGACAGAGCACCAAATTCTTCCCTACCTAGGCGGGGGGGTTAGGGTCAGGGGTCATGCTGTGTGGACAGGGTAACAGGTATATATTCTCCTAAACCAACCTTTGTATACGTTATTTCCTTCCTCCATCGTAGGAAGGAAAACACTTGGTGACATTTTCCACCCCTCATCTTCTTCCTGTTAAAGAAGAATATTTTTGTTAATTACAGCCCTACTTTATCGGTTGAGATTAGAAGTACGAGGCGCACACATTCTGGTTACTGGACTGTGATGAGGCACACAGGCTCTTTCCTGGGTTATGAGCGAAGGTCTAGCCCCTTGCCCACCCACCTGGCTAGTCTGAGCAGAGGGTGCTGTGTCCACCAATCGGGGCATGGATGATTCTAGGCTCACTAAAGCACCCCTGTTTCAGTCACCTCTCCTTGATCCTGTTATCTTACATTCTGGTTCCTTCTTTGCTCTGAGAGCTGATTCCCAGACTGAGTCTTACCGCCTCCCCTCATTGGCTTGTTGGGACACCAAGCTGCCTGGAATGTAGAGGGGAGGCGGAAGTGTCCATCTTCTTTCTGATCAGAATCCCATTTTCCCATCTTTGTTTGTGGGAAATTCCTCTGAGGTCCGAGGCAAATGTGTCACCTTCTGTGAAGCCGTGCTGGAATCTCCCAGGCGAAAAAGACACTGGGAAGAGAGATCGTGGTGTGACATATGGGGCAGAGGTCCGGAAGCAGGGTCAGTGAGAGTCCAAGAATCCCGGTCCAGGAGAACCTCAGATCCTCCACATTAACAGGAATTAGTGGCAGATATCAATTAGGGCCACATCTGTTACGTTTTTCAAAGAGGGGGGTGGGTGGCTCAGTCAGTTCAGTGCCTGACTCTTGATCTTGGCTCAGGTCATGATCCCAGGGTTATTGGATTAAGCCTTGCGCTGGGCTCCCAGGCTGAGTGTGAACATGCTGAGCGTGGAGCCTGCTTGGGATTCTCTCTCCCTCTCCCCCTCTCCCCTGCTCATGCATGCTCTCGCTCTCTCTCTAAAAAAATGGGGGTATGCATTGGCATATACCTCTTAACATATAGGTTCAAATGTCAGATTGGTCACGCAGTGGCTTTCAGATAATCTGATTATTGTTTTAGGGTCTGTGTCCTCAGGGTAGGGGTGGAGGTGAGGGTACTGTGATTTGGAAGAGACTGATTATTTCCCACTCAATAGATTCTAGATCCACACTGAAAATCAGCCTGGGAGCTCTCATTACTAACTGTATTTTAAAATAAAAAGGCACCAAAATAATATGATAGCTCTTTGCAAAAAAAGAAAAAAATAAGCATCTCATAACTATTTTCAAGTCTGCATTTAATTGAGAATGTCATTTTATTTTTCTGCTCACACTTTTCTCTCAATTCCATCAAGATTAAGAATCTAAAGTACTCATGCTTTTTCGGGCTTCAGACTGCTGTTCCTTCCCACACAGAAGGTATACAAGCAATCTGAGATAACCCACATGTGAAGTAAAAAAATGTATAGCTATGTCTTATGTACATCTGTCCTGATTTTCTCTGCTGGTACCTATGTTTAATTTTTGTCAGAAAAACTGTCCTGGCCATTATTAGGGCGGTAAGAAACATACCAGGTTTCTCACAATGGTCCCTCCAAACTGCCAGCTGACATCTTCCCTCTGAGCCCACCCAGCACCATCCGGGCTCCACGCCCACGCTGCAGCTCCCACAAGTGATGCTTTCCCAGCGGGGGCCCTCTTTGTTGGGAAGCCCTACTTATCTCTGCACCCGGCTCAGCTCCTTGTCCTTTGGAAGATTTAACTCAGGGAAAAGCCCAGCTTTCTCACCTCCAGAGGGTTAACTGAAATGCTTCTCTTTGTCCCTAACCTTTATCCTGACTCCAAGATGCCATTTGGCGATGCCACAATTGATGGTCACTAGAAACATGGGGCATAAGAAGCAATTTGTATACATCTATGCATAAAGAAATGTCTGGAAGGATATATACCACTATGTTAATGATGGTTAACTTTGGGTGGTGGGTTCCACGTGATCTTTGCTTATTTTTCTCTTTTTTTAAATCAACCCAACCTGCCCTCCTCTGTGTTGACCTTGCGTTGCTTGAGTGATAGATGTTGTATATTGCTTGATGCGGTCATCGGATGAGCCTTCAGGGGGTCGTGTCTGGGAAAAGGAAGGCCAGCAAAGGACCATCCAGGAGTCCTTCTGTCTTTATTTCTGACTCTTCATGGAAGGAATCTCTGTTATCTTCACAGAAATTCGCATTTTGGGAAATCAGGGTCCAGTGAAAACACTCCACCTGGATCATTCTGGTTGATTCAGTCAATCAGTCCACTCTATCAAGCATCAATCAGTCTGGCTCTGGCCAGCTGGCTGGGAGGGCAGCTGTGCCAGCTGAAGCTGGATCCGGGGCCAGGTGGGTTCTCCACCTGTGTGGCCGTCTGTTCTTCACCTGGCTGAGCGCTCAGCCATTCCCAGCTGAGCAGAGTCACACGGGTTTTAAGTCTGCTTCATTTCATACTGAGAAAGTGGAGGCCACTTGGGTGAAATGGCTTTTCTCCCCTCCACACTCTCCTCACCCCTGAAATCCTCTGCTTCTCCCCCAGGGCTCTTTGCTGCTGAGAACCCTGGTCTTACTCTATTGGGCAACATCTCCTCCCTGCCTGCTACCCTGGGACCTCCCCCAGCCCACATCCCTGGCACGTCTTACCCCCCGTCCCTGTACACTTGGTTCTAACCATTCATAAAATCCTCTCTCGACTTCACTGATCATTTTGCAATTTCCTGAAAGAGGTTTGTATACCCCCAAGTCTCAGTCCCTTCTCTGCTAGCGACCTGCCTTCTGCATCTGCTGACCCACGCTCCTGTGTAGCCAAAGGAGCTCTGCGTCCCAGTGATGTGCTCACCAGTGCATCTTTCCCTCAAGCATCCTCCTTGACTTTTCTGGAACATCCCTCCCTTCAAAGAACCTTCTGACTTGTCTCCCTCATATTATTAGTTCTCACTTCTCTGGGTAGATGGGCGGTGGGGACAGAAGGAGAACCTTCCTTTCACCCTTCCAGAAATTCACACAGTTGGAAAAGGAAATAGGAGCCTCAGTGTCTCCAGTGTGCAGAACGTCTCCCTCCTCCCAGGATGCTCCTCTCTCACTGGTTTCCCCTCTTCCTCCTGCCCTCCTCTGTGGACACCATCCAGATTCTCAACTTATCCCCACACTGGTCTTCCCACAACCCATCCATTCTCCTGCCCTTGATGGGGGCTTTCTATGCAGGGAGAGCTCTTGCGTCTTGCCAGAGTTTGTCTGAATTTCCAGATAACCGTGTGATGCCTCCGCGTGGGTGTCCCACCCTCAAATCTGTGTCGTTCTGAAGCCAGCTCCTGTCCTTCTGTCCCTCATACTCCACAGGGTCTCAGCGGAGACACCTGGCGTCCATCTTGACTCCTGACCTCCCTCTTGTCCTCAAACACCCAGCCCAGGCCAGTGTTCAGCTGTCTCTCGCATCTAGTGCGTCTTTGTACCCCACGACTTCTTCCCAGCGCCTTCAGATGAGCATCCAGTGTTCCTTTGGAAATAACTACCGCACAGCTCTTGAGCTGTAAGCGCTGTTCAGGTGCTGATTGGAGTCCTGGTTTCATCAGGTCACTCTGGCTGCTGGGGGTGGGTAACAGGTGGCAGAATGGCAGGAGAGGAGGGGGCAATGGTGGCCAGGAGGCTGTTGTGGTTCCTCCCCCCCGCCCCCCCGGCGGGGACAGGGAGACCCGGGCAGACCTGGGCTATGAGAGTGAGCTCCCCAAAGGCTGCTGACAGGCCATGTTCTCAGGGAAGCCTCCTCTGTTGTCTCCAGGGCTGGTGGATCTCGCTCTTTTCTGAATCTGTGGTGCTTCCCTTGGCCCTTCAATACAGCCGTTGGTATCTTTCTGTAAGTGGTGGTTTTTGAGTTTTTTAGATAGGAGGAAGCACGGAGAAAATGCACATACCTTCTTCTCAGAGGAATGTATTTTCACATAAAAGTTCATGTACAATTGCGGGGAGTCTATCCTTGGGGTCTCTGTTTCCTGGGTGAAGGCTCCCGTCACTACAGCTCGCAGTTTCTTATCTTCCTCTCCCAATGTCCTTAATGGACATAGAGGATGCTCAATATGGACATTTCCATGATGACACCTTTATTCATGATATTAGCCTTTGGAAATTCACTCACTTTTCCATATTTGTGAAGTAGTACAAAATTTAGTTTGAAATACCCTAAAATAACATAAGAGCATGGTTGGCTCAATGGTTCACTATGGAGCACCTCCTTGGGCCAAGCGGTTGGAGAAGAGGCACTGTGGTCACAGAAAGGCTGGGTGGCACTGGAGATAAGCAGAAACTTTTCAGGCTAATGGTGCTGCATTTGGGTACCAGGCTCTTTCCAGGATTTAGCACAAAGTTACGTGAATGCAGGGAAGATTCTGACATGACCATGTGGTCTGGACAGGTAAAATCCATTTAAGATAGTTCCAAATGGCTTAACATATGGCTTGAAAGATAACAAAGAGAAAAGTGTCGTAGGGATGGATCGCATGATGCTCCTTCTCTAAGTTTTTGTTTCTAAAGCGAATGTGAGGTCCACATAGCCGACTGTTGGGCAAATGGCGTGATTCTGACATTGAAAGCACGTTTGCAAAGCTGGCTGTTGGCTTGCAGAGAACGTTCTCCTGACTGGACTAGCACTGTCCTCTGTTACATATTCTTAACAGGGTATGTCCTTGTCTGTGATCCTTAACACTTTCAGAGATGGTTTTCAAACTGGAGATCCAAAAGAAAGCCTAATTTTTATTTTACTGTTGAATTTTGAGAATTCTTTATGTATTCTAGATGCAAGTCCATTGTCAGATCTGTAGCCTGCAACTATTTTCTCCTTGTCTGTTCATCCTCTTCCAAGAGCAAATGTTTTTTATTTTTTTATTGTTATTTTTTTAAATGCTTGCTTATTTATTTTGAGAGAGAGCAAGCACAAGTAGGAGAGGGGCAGAGAGAGAAGAAGAGAGAGAATTCTGACAGTGTAGAGCCCAATGCAGGGCTTGATTCCACGAACTGGGAGATCATGCCCTGAGCTAAAATCAAGAGTCAGACACTTAACAAACTCAGCCACCCAGGTACCCCTAAAAGCTTTTAATTTTTAATTTTTAGTTTTGATGAAGTCCAATTTATCAATCTTTCCCTTTATGGATATTTTTGGCATCAAGTGTAAAAACTGTTTGTCCAGCCTGAGACCCTGAAGATTTGTTTTCCCTGTTTTTACCTAAAACTTTTACAGTTTTACATGTAAATTAATGATCCGTGCTGAGTTAATTTTTGTGTAAGAAAAGGTACAAGATATAAGTTCGTTTTCTTGTCTGGGGGATGAAGAGATTAATTTTTGGAAGCTCATTTTTGAAGGTGTTTATGGTGTTTTATGTTTCCCTTTACTCACACTGGTGAAGGTGAACGGTCCCCAAATCAATCTCCTTGCTTCCATCCTTCAGCATCTCAGTAGAGAGGGTCTCAGATGGATCCAAATAAGAAACTGAAAACTTTCACGCTTTACATGTTCAATTGTTTGCAAAGTTTCTTGATGCGATGATCAAATGAACGTAGGGCGACCCGCCACAATTATTTTCAAATGCTGTGCATGATCTATGAAGACCCACCCTAACAGCACTCTCTTTTCTCATGCCATCAGCCCTCCCGGAAGTTGGAAACCCAAGCAGGGACACCAAAGCCCCTTAAACTTCCTTCCGCTCATCTCCAGGTTCAAATATCTCAAGACACCGCAGGGGAACTCATGAATCCTTAGAGTCCTGAATGACAGAGTGTCTACAAGGAGCTCTCTCCTGCTGCACTAGGGTTGGGGGAGAGGTGTTTTAGGCAGGTCACTCTGAGACACATTTATGCAGACAGAGGGGACCCAAGGAAGGGCTGAGGAGGGAGAGGAGGTGGTCATGAAAGGATGGCCATGGGTATTTCTGAGCCAGGTCAGGGTGTCACTGTATTGCTGACTATGAGCCCAGATCTTTGTCCCACCAGCTGGATGTGCCTTTCTTTCCTCATTATTTTTAGAAAAAATCAATAAGGCAAACAGGACTCACTTACTTCACTCTCAGCCCTGTGGATAATGTTTGGCTTTAAATGCGTCCTCCCATGGGGATGGATGCAAACTTCAGAGGAGCTCAGACCCCTGCCCCCACTCCTGTCCTTGGGTGGGACCTGGGTTTGTGTGGACCCTGCTTCCTGTCTCCCAAAATTCCCCACCTGTACCTAACAGCCTCGTTGCCTTGGTCACTTCCTCACCCATAGGCCATCCCAACCATGGTCATGAACCACAGACCTTAGACCACAGCTTGCACAACTCAGGTCTGCTCAAGTCACTACCCCAGGGATGACTCTTGTCTTCTCCAGAAGGTTCTGCCCAGCACCCGAAGGCCCCATCCATGGCTGTTCCGGGCTTTCCTGGCCCTACACCATACACCATCTGTGGCCTCTGTCATTCTTGCTCTGAAGTTGTCCTTTGGTTCTTTGGCTCAGCAATGGAGTGGAATCCTGCCTGGAGTCCCTAATCTGAACCACCCAGCCTTCTGATCCACTCACCTCCAGACCTTTGTCAACAGCTCCTTTGTGGCCACATATGCTCATTTGTAGCTTTCTTGTGAACTGACGAAGCTTGTACTTGTGCGCTATTTTGACAAGAGTCTATTTTCCACTTGAAGAGGTGAGTGGAAATATTTAGCTAATCCTCAGGTTCTATTTTTTTTTAAATATGATGTCTTTCCCAAGTTTTCTGACCATATATATGTTGCCAATATACATCTATATATACACACATATATATAGGCAATAGAGAAATGACAAAGTTTATAAAAATACCTGAAGGATAATCCCACAGCTGTGCCACCATGAAGGAGTTAGGGGTGAGTCAGCACCCACGCAAGCTAAGTGAAACCAGTTTCCTCTCTCCCCTGCCTTACTCTTGAACCAGGATGAATGTGAGATGCCTTTTCTACAGGTCAAAGTGGCAGTTCTCACACACGGGAATGCTTCTAGATGCTTGGGCATTGATTCTAAATTAAGACTCTTAAAAGTCAATACAAAAGGTCACCTACCTGTACTTTTCACAAATAGATTCAGTTCTAAGTAGCTCTGAAGAATTTTCCCCTGACTTTGGACTCAGACTTTGCTTTTTGCTCCAAACTCTTCATCATTAAGTGACTCTTTAATTGGCAGTTAATAAAATACCTTCACTCAACAAAGACCAGATTGTGTAGCTGATAATTTCAGATTTTTTTTTAATGGAACATGCTTCATTAACAGTGAATTTTTAATTTGCAAGTGTCAAACTCTTTAATGTATATTTAGAACAAGAGAATGCTTAGAATAAAATTGAAATCCTTCCAATTGTCCTTATTCTCAGGCACTGCTTCAAAATTGTCTTGCAGAGTGTGAGGGGGTCTCTCAAAATTAACTGTATCAAGTAAGCTCTCTTCTTATTTATTTATTTTTTTAAATGTTCTTCTGCAACACGTTAAAGCTTTGGGGCCCAAGTAGAGCAGGAGGGACAACAGGTGGCCTCGTGGGTTGGGTTCCCTGGAAACGCTCAGATGGAGGCCCAGGGGGTGGCTCACCACCCACAGGGAGGGAGCTGCACGGAAGAGAACCGGATGTAGCTGAGCCGTGACACCCCTGGACGTGAGCTGTCAGCTGGCCCCAGAGGGAGCCCGGGAGCCGGAACAGTGTTTTCAGAATGGTCCCACTGAGGGGGGTGGCTGTCCCTGGGTAGTGTGACCTCGCAGGAAGCAGCTCCTTGAGCCCCAGAGCAATTCCTGAGGCAGAATTAGGTGAGGGGCCAGCACAACTTGCAGGGTAGCTGGGGACTGAGCTGGGGACTACGGTGGGGCGAGTTGTGCCCAGAACGAGCTGTAAGAGGTCTCTCTTCTCTTGTTCACAGCAGTGGAACATGGTGAAGGAGAGGGACAGAGACGGATGGGGGCAGGTTCTGTTAACCACAGTGCGGGAGAAGAACCTTCCAGAAGGGACAACTGTCTCCACCTGGCTGGCTGCAATCGTGCAAGGGAGTGTTTTTAAAGTCTACTTATTTATTTGAGTGGGGGAGGGACAGAGAGAAAGGGAGGGAGAGCCCCAAGTAGGCTGTGCACTGTCAGCACAGAGCCCGATGTGGGGCTTGAACCCACGAACTGTGAGATTGTGACCTGAGCTGAAATCAAGACTCAGATGATTGACTGAGCACCCCCCGGTGCCCCGTGCAAGTGATTTGGAACAAAACGTTGGCCTTCATCACCATCGCCCATACCTTGCATTTATGCGGAATTTGGGTATTGTCATCGCACAGCCACCGTCGGCCTCCTTTCTCCCCTGCTCACGGTTTCTGGCGCCTTGGTCCAGTCACTTGTCTAGGTCTATGCAGCCTGTCCTGTATCTCTCCTGAACCCACGTCCTGGAACATGAAGAGTGTGGCCCCTGCTACCTGAGCAAGAGCTGGGTCTCTGCCTCTGGACAGAGTCACAGAAGGACTATAACCCTTAGGATCCGTTCTCCTGAGTTGCTTCAGATGAGGGGTTTGGTCAGCCGTGAAGGAAGAAGTGTCTGTGCGGAAATGCTTCTGGAAGCACGATCCTGCTTCAGGATGAGCTGAGCTTCCAGCTGGAGCTCCGTCTCCCAGAAGAGGGGTTTCTGCTGGGAGAACACCGTCCTGGGGGCCCACCTCTCCACGTGCTCGAAGGTGAAGACCCCACCATCTGCCTCTCCAAGACAGCAGCACCTGGCGAATCCACCCATCACCACCTCCTCCCCCTTGCACAAGGGGAGGCCTGGCCCAAAGTGACCCTGTTTGAACTCTGATTTCCTTCGGATAGTAGGAACCCACAACTTCCATTAAAATATATCCACAGTGTCAACGTGAAGGGATAAATTTGAACAAACACACTTTGGTTAAAGTAGTTAAATTATTTTGACTTTGGCAAACCATGAGAGACTCCTGAATACCAAGAACAAACTGAGGGCTGAGGGTGGCGGTGGGGAGGGGGGGTGAGGGGGAGGAGAAGGGGTGACGGGCACGGAGGAGGGCACTTGTGGGACGAGCACTGGGTGTTATATGGAAACCAACTTGACAATAAACTATGAAAAACATAAAAAAACACAAAAAACCCCCCAAAACCCCAAAATAAACATTAAAAATAAATAAATAAAATTTAAAGAAAGCAACTGAAGAAAAAAGATTATTTTGACTTTGCACTGGTCACGTGGTTCGCAAGCAATTGTCCCTGATCTCTACCCTTGAGGAAAGACCAGGCGGATCGATGATTTTGAGGAATAAAAATTCAAAGGGGCCACATATGTGAATAAACACATAAGGGATCCGAGTCCCTAAAACCACTCTTTATCCTAATATTTATTTACTGCAAGTCACAGAGAGATGGTGACGGGTGATGCAGCAACATAAAAAAAAAATACTGAAAACAGCAGGTAGAAGAGAACGGTTGCCTAGGAAACGGATGACTGCACTCTCCGGAGGGGATCAAGCCACCGATTGAAAGCAAAAGAGCCACTTAAAAGAACATTTCTAAACTTCCAAACTTCTTACCTTGCTTTTTTCCCTTGTGCCTTTCTTCTCCTTATCTTGTTTAGGTTTCTTGGCTTTCTTTGCCTTCTTCTTTTTATTCTTTTTGTTTTTCCCCTCCTCTTCTTGGCTTGCAATAATGTCTTCAGTAACCTGGTAAGAAACACAAACTAAGCATCGCGCTATCAGGATGCAGACTGGTTTTCCTGGCTGGAGGGGGTTTGCGTGCTGATCAGTCCCTGCTCCCTCCCTGTCCTGCTCTGGGCCCCGAGGCTGACAGTTGTGGGGACATCACTGGCTGCCGGCCGCCTCTGTGGATTCATCAGGCAGCATTCGGATCTCAGGGGGCAGATGAAGGGCGGCTGGACCTTTCTGAACCCAGTCCCAATGCAGGGGAGCCCCAGCTTCCTAGTGCAGATCCACCCACACTTTTCCCAGCGGAGCTGAAGATATCCTGGCTTCCCGCCTGGACTCTGTGGGGCAGTTGCTCTTAACAATAACTTTTCTTTAATTTTAATTTTTTATTAAAATTAAAAAAATTTATTTTGAGAGCGAGAGAGAGCGTGGGGGAGGGGCAGAGAGGCAGGGAGAGGGAGAATCCCAAGCAGGCTCTACACTGTCAGCGTAGAGCCCAGTGCAGGGCTTGATCCCACGAACCGCGAGATCAAGACCTGAGCGGAAATCAAAAGTTGGACGCTCAACTGACTGAGCCCAGGTGCCCTTGCTTTTCCATAAATGGTCATGCATCTCTTCTCAGAATTGGTTTCTTTCTTTAAAAAAATGTTTTTTAATGTTTATTTTTGAGAGAGAGAGAGAGACAGAGTGCAAATGGGGGAGGGGCAGAGAGATGGAGAGGAAGACACAGACTCTGAAGCAGGATCCAGGCTCCAAGCTATCAGCACAGAGCCCGACACTGGCTTGAGCTCATGAAACACAAGATCATGACCTGAGCTGAGGTTGACACTTAACCAACTGAGCCACCCAGGCATCCCTCAGGATTGGTTTCTTTCACCCGTGACTTAATTTCTATTTCCTACAGTGACAAAACCCATTTATTCTTCCAAAATTTAAAATTTTAAGAAGTACCTGGTTCACATCAGATTAGCTTCATTGGAGAATTAGTAAAGGTTAGTGGAAAATTGTACAATCCATTCTGTACAACAGATGTTTGCTGAGCTCCCATTTGCTGTGGCGGACAGCCATGAATTCTGGGAGATACGAGGGTGCCGGTGATCGGACCCATTTCCTGTTAGACTCTGGGGCTCTGCCCATCACCGGTCATGTGATGGAGACAAGGGACCTGACATCCCTGGGACCTAGTTTCCTAGTTTCATGTTCTGAAATGAAGTTGATACTTCCATCCATTGCACTTATGATAAGCCAGGCATGGCCCTAAGCGCTGCATAAAAACGAACCCATTTACTGCTAAATGCAGCCCAGGGATGGGAGCTGTCACCAACCTCTTATTGACAGTATATCAGGGCACAAAGAGTTCAGTCATGTGGCCAAGGACACACAGCTGGGATTCAAAGGGGCACTAACCAGAGTGAATTTCACAGCGTAGAAAGGAAAGGGAAAAGGTGTGCACAGCATCCATCAACTTATCCTATTGTACAAAACGCATATAAATAAAAAAATAATACTCTACAGTTTCAGGATCCATACATATTTTGTCAAAATACAAAGACATATGAGGGAATGACAAACACTAAATCCAGGACAGTGGTTACCTCTGGGGAGCAAGGTATGAAACTAAGCCAAAAGGCTAGTATCATTTCACCTCTGCTACGTTGTACTAAACCATCCTTCTGGGACCAAGTGCACTTGTTATGCCTTATTGATGATTTATGACACTGCTGAGGTTTATTTTCTATGTTATATATTTGTTATTTATACCTATGTTGCTCTTAGGAGCTTAGTTCATACCTTTAAAAGTATTAACGATATAGCTTTACCGTGAACCAGGCAGGATATTCTGGTCTCATCTGGACTTAACAACAACACCATTTTAGTCATTAGTCATGTGCCCTCCTTCCCACTATCCAGCTGTCTGCCCGTCCCCGAGGCTCTCGTGAAGCTCTCGGTGGGATGAGGCTCAGAGAAAGGGTGCCGGGGAGGGTGAGAGGTGACGTATGTGTTGTACACATTATTCGATAATAAAAAGGGCGTCTGTGGATGGAATTAACATTCTCTCGTCCAAGTAGCAAAGTTCTACTTGGGGACCAGGCTCGCCTCAACTCCTAGAACTAAATCGTGGTCGCTCAGGACTTTTGTGTTTGGAACACTTATGGAGCATGAATATTTTTTTGTCCTTGAGTGTTTGGAAGCTTTCAGAAATGTGTAATGACAATTTTTTTTTTTAATGTTTTATTTATTTCTAGGAGAGAGAGAGAGAGACAGCGTGAGCAGGGGAGGGTCAGAGAGAGAGGGAGACACAGACTCCGAAATAGGCTCCAGGCTCCGAGCTGGCAGTCAGCACAGAGCCCGACGCGGGGCTCAAACCCACGAACCGCGAGATCATGACCTGAGCGAAAGTCGGACGCTTAACCGACTAAGCCACCCGGGCGCCCCGTGTAATGACAATTTTTAAAAAATAGCCTGATCTATCAATTGTGAGCAGCTACAAAATGGTGAAGTCCTTATTTGTGGAACATACAATTCAGTGTATCTTTGAAAGCCTTTTCCATTGTATTATTTATTTCCTCTATATCTTTAGTTTATTAACTTGATCGATAAATACATTCACGGGGCCCACAATTCAAGAATGACAAAGCGCATGTAGTGATGTTCTGTTCTTGTGCTGTGAGCCAGCCAGCAGGAGCTGCTTTCTAAAGCCAGCCTCAATTCCTTGGAGAAACTTCCAGAGACATTTTATATAGCTATATGCAAATATATTGCTCACACAGACACACACACACACACACACACACACACACACACACACAAGCACACATGCTACTGTGTTATGTTTGCCAATCTCACATGTGAAAATGGTGGGTGACTGGGGTTTGTCTTTTTTTTTTAAAGCCAATGTTGCATTTATTATGTTCTTGGTTTTTGTTTCTTTTTTTTTTAAAGATTTTTTTTTTGAGTGAGAGACAGAGTGTGCTTGAGAGTGGGGGGAGAGGGGTAGAGCAAGCTATTGAGGGGGGAGAGAGAGAGAGAGAGAGAGAGAGAGGGAGAGAGGGGGAGAGAGAGAGAATCTTAAGCAGGCTCCATGCTCAGTCCAGAGTCTGACGTGGGTCTCAATCCCATGACCCCGGGATCACGACCTGAACTAGAATCAAGAGCCAGGTGCTCAATCAACTAAGCCACCCAGGTACCCCTCCTCTTGATTTTCAACCCTAGCAAAATCTTCCAAAGTACAAAAATGTGTACACAGGTATACACACAAACACATACTATAAACATAGATTGGTCATTTTACACACACATCAGTGTATCGGACACACTGTCCTTATTGTGACATTTTCTCCTAAGAACGTCCTGGCTGTCTTTCCCCAGCAGCACATAAAGGGCTTGCTCATTCTTTTTTTTATAGGTGTCCTGTAGATGATCTGGCTGTTCTCCTACCAGTGGAGTTAGGTTGTTTCTAATCGTTTGCTGTTACTAACAGTGCTGCACAAATAAGTGCAGGCAGACATCATCGCACAGGGGTGTGTGCCTTGCTGCCGGATACAGTCCTAAAAGTAGAAACGCTGGATCAAGGGCATGTCCATTTGTAATGCTGTCCCACTGCCTCCTCCATCGGGCTGTGCCAATTTACACTGTGCCCGGAGGGTGAGGGAGTGCTTCCCCCCCAAGATGCTCTGACAAGGTGAGACACCGTGTGTCATGTTTACCACATGAGCGGCTGAGAAAGTGGTATGTCGTTGTGGTTGTTATAGGCTGTTTTTCAATACCAGTGCTGAATTTATCTTGCTCATGCTCTTCAACTATAGCAAAAATTCCCAAAGTTAGAAAGGCTCTTTATCATCCTGTTGAGGTAGTCACCATGTTTCCGGTAAATGGTGGCGCCTGAGGGCCAAATCTGGCCCCACCACCTGTTTTCCTTTATAAACATATAATATGTTATAATATGATTTTATTGATGTGTATTTTACGTAGTACACATTCACACATTATTTTTAGTACACACACCAAGTTGTGCAATCGTCACCATGAATCAGATTCAGCACTTTTCCATCACCCCAGTGTGACCCCCTCAAGTCGGTGGTCAGTCCCTTTGCTTTTCCTTCACTCCTTGCCAGGCAAATGTTTATCTCCTTCCTGCCTCCATACAGTCACTTTATCTGGATGTTTCCCGTAAAAGGAATAATACAATGTGTGGTCTCTTATATCTGGTGCCTTTCTGACTGCATTGTGTTTTCGAGGTCTACCCATGTCACAGCATATCTCAATTGATTTTTCCTTTTCTATTGCCAAATAATACTCTTTTGCATGGATGCACCACATTTGCCTTATCCAGTAACCAGGTGATGGATGTAAGTTGTTCCAAAGTTTTGGCTCTTGTGAGTAATATTCATGTCTAAGCTTTTCTGTGTGGACATACTTTCATTTCTCTTGGATAGAGTCCTGAGAATGGACTGATGGGTCATTTGGCATGTTTATATTAAACTTTTTTTTTGTTTTTTAAGTAGGCTTCGGGGTGCCTGGGTGGCTCAGTCGGTTAAGTGCCTGACGTTGGCTCAGGTCATGATCTCACAGTTTGAGTCTGAGCCCCACGTCTGGCTCTGTGCTGACTGCTCAGAGTCTGGAGCCTCCTTCGGATTCTGTGTCTCTCTCTCTCTGCCCCTCCCCTGCTCATGCTGTCTCTCTCTCTCTCAAAAATAATAAATAAAAAATCATTTAAAAAAACTATTAAAGAAGGCTTCATGCCCAACATGGAGCCCAATGTGGGGCTTGAACTCAGGACCCTGAGATCAAGACCTGAGATGAGATCAAGAGTTGGACACTTAACAGACCGAGCCACCCAGGCGCTCCTGGGTATTTTAAGAAACTGACAAACTTTCCCAAAGTGGCTGCACCATTTTGTGTTCCTACCAGCAGCACAGAAGAGCTCCCTTTTCTCTGCACCCTCAACGTTTGTTACTGTCTGTCCTCTTGATTGTGGCCATCCTAGTGGGTATGAATGGTCTCATTGCAGTATTTAT